GATTTTCTCAGCCCACAGAGCGTTTCAGACGATTTCCTTGCGCCTATAGACTAGGCTTAAAACAGACTTTCTGACCTTTTGCATCTTTTCACATCTCCCCTAATCATTCAACAACTACCGTGTTTGTCAGTCAAAAGTTTTGACACGCTGCACAATTTTATGCAGTGTGTACCATTTTCTTGGTACCAGTCGGAGAGGTCCTCCGGTCGGATAAATTTTGGTATGGTACGCTACAAAAAATGTTCATCGGCCATATGCCGGCTTGTAGCGAGAGGTAGTTGCGTACAAGAATATGACGAGCTAACACTGGTGCATTTTCGTGGACTTTTGCAGTAACTGAAAACGAAAACGACTGTGGTGCAATTGACAAAACATTATAATATAACAGAACGGTGCAAATGATCATCGAAGCGGGGACAATTTCGAAGAGAAATGATCTAGATACCGACACAAGCTTTAAAACGTTTTATGTTCTGCATTATTGTAATGTTGTGTTACTTCATGAATCGAATTGAATCTCATACTTTCGACTTAAAAGTCAATCGAGAAAGTGACCTATTTGTTCACGTGTGTCTTAGCAGTTTCTACAGTACTTTTCTACTTGGCACTCGGATTTCCTCGAAAGTGACCAGTTCGGCGGGTGTGGTAGTTTCCGCTCTGCGTTGCTGAAATGCTGATGCTTGTTGATTGCAAGTTAAGAAGTGAGCTTCCTTCCGACTAACTCCTGCTCCTGCGTTCTACTGGACTACTCCTACTCCTATCAGGACCACAGGCTTCACCCTGGGCACAACCTTGAGAGACGAGCGTCAGGGTTGCAGTAAGGCTGCAACTTCATGTTGATAGACGACGCTGTAGTTTAGGATGGGGTTCTTGATTCAGGATAGCCTCCTTGCCGTTGAGGAACGCCTCCTTCCTTGCCACACACTACACTGCCCCCGAAGAACCCATATTAGTACCGTCTTGATATGCAGATATGAATGTCGAGCCACTTGTCACCAAATGTCACGACTGATGGAAATGAGATAACCTTATTTTCACACGAACCGATTTGACCAACACAACAAGATTCCAACACAAAAAGACATGGGCGGGACAGCAGACCGGGACTTTCTGCCCACTGGCCCTGGGCCAGACCACCACTAGCAGTGGTGCAGACGCATTGTTGTTCGGTGGATGTATGTTACCTGAATGTGACCCAATTTTGTGTGGTTTGCAATTCTTGGTTCCTGGAAGACGCACTCAAGAGTCCGGCCACCGCACCCTCAACATCGCCATGGTCGGGCTGTCCGCCGCGCAACTTCCGCCAATGAAGCTGTACACTGGTGACACGATCGCCTACCACACCCAAATGTATGTCGCCGGCGATCCCCGTGCCTACAGGACTGCTATTGTGATGCACGTCGATGATTCACCCGGCGAGGCTTACACCCCGATCTACGTGTCGACAGATGCGATGATCCCGCCAACCATGATGGTAAATAAGGTGTTAAATCGGGCAGGCGAGGAAGTGAAGTGCCACTGGCGCGAGCTACGCACCAACCAGCTTGTCTTGGGCCAGTTCCAGGCTCCGTCCGACCGCACATGCTTCGCTGAGTCAGTTCAGAACATCATTACCGCTGCCTTTACGGGTGCCTTTACCGGTGCCAGTGATACCGGCCCCGCAACTTAGGCCGAGGTCGCGTCAAGAACGACGCCGAGATCTGATGGATCTGATGATGACGACCAGGTGACTTCCATGACGTCCAGCGCCCCAACCACGGCTTCTACGGTCGTCGATCACGGCTTCACAGACGCCCATGAGTACGAGGAAGAGTATGCATACGAGGAAAGGGCACCAGTTCCCACGCCAACCAATAAAATCAAGGCCAAGCCTAAATCCAAGAAGACCGCCCTCGAGAAGCGGCCCAGTACTCCCCCTGGTCATGTACAGATTTCTGCCGCGCCCCCCAAGGCTGGTGCCACTCCAGCGCAAGGTCATCCATCGGAGGAAATCTTGCAAAGAACAGGCACGAAGATTGCCAGGAAGATGACGAAGGGGTCCGTCTGTGTGAAGACCAGAAAGTCATCCAGCAGGCGCTTGAACCGTCAAATATCCCCCGCCCGAGCTCTCATACATGGAACCAACCCACCTGGACATGATGGAAGCGCGGTATCGCGCAAAATGAACTGCCATCATGATTCCTACCGTTTAGACTCTTCATCCGGGCAGGACGTGGAGATTGTTAGTGATGAAGCCGGTGCTTCGGGGGACTTGTACAGGTTAAACACCCTGGCCTTCGTGTGTATGAACACAAGCAGGGTTTACAAGAAGAAAGCTAGCAGTCTCAATTTCGGCGTTAAACAAGTCCGAGATGGTGGGGCTGAGGTGGATGAGAAGGATGCATACCTGGAATCCGAGGAAAAGGCTGAAGACATCGACTCAGACCCTCCAGACCAGCCAGACCAGCCTGAGCAACTGGAACAATCTAGTCAGCCCACTCCATCGCAGATGACCGCTCTACATGAGATTTTGGTGGTCCCCACGCTCGCACAGCGCGAGGCACTATATCATAGACGCAAGGTGGGCAAGGTTGACTACCACGTCAGTAAATCAAGAAAGATACGCTACCAGAATAGACGCGCTCCAATGCGCAGCGGCACCAAC